CTGAGGGTATAAAAAAATAATGAAGCAAGTTTTAAGTGAAAGGTCGCGGGGATTTCTTTGCAAATGTATGGACCGCATAGCCAAAACGAAATTCCGTCTAAACAGATTTTTCACCTTAAGTAAAATTACCGATAAAAGTGCTCACTGTAAAAAACTTAGAATGAAGCAGGGTTCAAATGAAAGATCTCGGGAATCACTCTTCAAATATGTAAACCGCATAGGCAAAAACCATTTCGATCTAAGCTATCTTTCGAATTCTCTGAAAATTTATCGCTCAACTTAATTAAAATAACAGATAAAGGCCCACGGCACAAAAACTAAGAATAGAGCGGGGAAAGACCTCGAGGATCACTTTACGTTAATATGCGCCTAATAGTCAAAAATAATTGCATACCTTGAGAATCCACTGAATCATTCTTTGAGTGTACTCTTGATCTCAAAATGAAATTCAGTAACATGCTTTCCATATAACTCAAAGGGGGAGCAATATACTTTTCTTCTACTGCTGCTGTTGCTACAACATGTGAAACTACTTAAAAGCCTAGATAGCTTGATGTATGGCAGAGTTTGTGGGCAATGTGTAAGTTGGTGTGTGAGTGCGCTTGTGTGTATTTGCAGAGTTTTCTGTGGATTTAGGCCAAAAGACCTGGTAAAGGTTCGATTGTCAGGGGTATAGGTTGAATGATGCCACTTTTACTCATAAAAGCATATCATTTATCCCACATACTCGACTATTTACATACACACATACATGTATCCACTACCACTACTGCTACTATTGGGATTTGAGTTCGTTTGAGAGCAAATTTATATCTTCTTTTACAACATCATAAATTGTGTGGTTGCTTTCGTACCTCAAGTTACTTTAATATCCTATTTGTGTTACTTTGAGATAATTATATTTTAAAAGAGAATTCATTTTGGGGTATTTTGAGATTGTATGTTGCCGCATGTGAGATTTATATGCATGTCAGAAGCCATTATGAAATTTATGGCGAAACAGTGTTCGGTGGCATGGAAATTAATAAAGCGAAAAATTTATACTAAATATTGGTATTACTGATAATAACACTGTGTGACAAATTTCATTTTTTTAAATTACGGGAAAAATCCAGCAAATTATGAAAGTAGAGCTTAACAAAGATTGTACGTATATTGACATTTTGAAAGTTTAAATCGAAAAGTAACTAGGTTTAGGTTGTTGAAGGTGTCAAAAAAAGAAATATTCTACAGAAAATTTAAAAATCTTAAAATTTTCCATATGTCGCACAGTGTTATCAGGAAGCCAAAAACTAATGAATTTTCACATAAATTAAATAATTTACCATGTCGCAGCGCAGCGTGTATTCTACGAAGGCCGCAGACAACAATGTATTCCATCCATATTTGTTCTTTAAATACACAGCAGCGAACCAAATGTCGGACACGTATATTACGGTCCAGTGTAAATTTCCCATCCATATTCTTCGGCCGGCAAAGACTTTAGACATTCCCCCGACCCTTCAGTCCGAGAACACGTCAACCGCTTCATATATTTTCCGGACAAAAGTCGAACCAAACACGCACCACAAATCGGAAGTTTCATACGAATTTCGTCTCGAATTAGGTCCGAATTTGGATAGTTTAATTCGCTGGGTATACGAATATGTTCCAATACAAGCGTTTATGATCTATCACAGGTAAAAGCATATGTTTTTGAAATATGGAATAACATATTCCTAAATATACAGGGTGGTATAAAAAATTGCAACAAAGTCAAACCCCATAATTTTTACATTTTTTAATTTTATTGAATGAAAGCAAACAATGTCGGAAATAGCATCAAATTTTAGAATAAGTTTAGAATTGGTCGCATTTGGCACGAATTATGGCAATCAAACTGCCCGAATGTTTCTCTGCGGTATTTCGGTCCATTCCCGGCGAAGCGCTTGCTTGATGTGATCGACACTTTGGCATTTTTTAGTGCCAACCTTACACTCCAAAATACACCACGGCTCACGAGCACTTTTTCGGCCACTGCGACGCTTAAAATATCCATTTCCTGATTCTTATCACTAATATCTTCGGAACTACAAGATAAATCAATACATTGGGCACCATTTTGATAAGGCAGGAGAGTACGCTATAGTGTAGTATGTAGATTTTAATACCCCATAATGGGTCATTTTTCGACTTTTTCAAAAATTTCCGCCATAAAATACTAATTTTCTTGCATTGCTCCGCAATCTTTTCAAGCAACCCAATCACATGACCACTTATTGGATAGGCATTGTTATAAGCTTTAAAATTATACATATCAGTTTTGTAAAAAACTTTCGGATCGGATAACCGGGTAAACGACATTTCCCCACTAAAAATTACTTTGCCTAATCAGGTTAAAATACCTACCTCATAATTGCATTTAAGTCCACAATCGGTTTGGGAATCAATCTTTGCGGTGTTATGACCGAAAAAGCCTTCCTCTCTACGCTTGGCTCACACACGCTCGTAGCTAGCTGTCTACGCTTTGTTCGCTCCCGCTAATGGCCAGCCCACTGCTCATTGGTAGCTCCCCGCTTGTCGCAAATAGATCTCAGCTCCAAGCGTGCTCAACGGTCGTAGTCCGCTCATTCCAAATTTTAGTCGTCAGCTGCTGGCTCCAAGCACACTTACAGTTTTTTTTGCCGACTCACCGCTCGAATCTGCTTATTCTTAGTAATCTGCTCATCGCAACCTCTTACTAGCCCGCTTACAGTCGGCTTGTAGACTACCAGGTTATTACCCCCACAAGCTTTCACCGCCCGAACCACTCTTAACACACTCTTCGTAATCAGCTACCAGTCTCAATATTGTCCAAAGCTCCAAGTCCGCTTACTCCTTATAGCTGGCTCACCGCTCGTGGACTGTCAAACCAGACCAGACCAGCTTACCGCAGCCAGCTACAAGCCCACTTACTCGTCACTACTACATGCATCGACGCTTCCTCCAAGTCGACCACTATATTCTAGCTAAAGCTGAGCTCGGATTTAAACACTTGGATCTATTTTGGGCTATATTAACAACTTACAAATGAACTTATCCATTATTTGGGCATATTTTATTTAGGCATATCATCAAAAAGAGGTAGTTATCATTTGCCCACTAACACTCGACAAAAATGTATAAAAACTACATTTTCGGAATTAGTTCTCAATTTCCACAAATCATCTTTTTTACTCTATCCTATGATTTTTAGTTCAACACAATATGCCACAAAATACGCCACGGTTGCAAACATTAAGGGTTGTGTCAGGTCATTGTACTTTACTATACCCTTAGCCTTATGGATGCATAGGGTATATATCATGTCATATGTCCTAATCGTCCTTAATCTAAATTAAGGTCTTAGACCATAGGTCCTTATATCGAATTCGGAAATATATCGGTCCACTCCTTCTGGTTCTTTCCCCCTACAAAAGGTCAAATTTTTCATAGAAAATAATTTATATGGAATGAGAAAGGAAAGGATCATCATCAGGACTTGCACTAAAGTCGTAATATTTGTATTAGTGCTAGGTCAGTGGGATAACTGACAATATCAGCCCACTCCATCTACTACCTCGGCCACAAAGGTTCAACATTTTGAATAATTTTTTTTACTAACACAAGATCTGGTATGAAGATGAAATATATTGAAAATATGCATCCGATTCTCTTTAAATTCCACACATCCCAATATTTTTACTAACGAAAGATCTTGTGTGAATATGCGAAGTTTCCGTCTACTCCTTGTGGTTAAAAATGCGTAAATCCTTTTAAACTTCGCACTAAAAAGAGATTTGGCGTGACGATTATAGATATCGACACTTACCTTCTGGTAACTCCCCCACTAAGAGTCACAATTGTCAGTATTTATATCCCTCATAACTTGTGAAACAAGTCAGTGATTCTTTTTAAGCTTGGCGTATATAAATATCTCTCTCGATCAGGGATTTGTTGTGAATAAGGAATCTATCGGCCCACTTCTTCTGGCTCCTTCCCTACAAAAGTTAAACATTTTGATTTTCACTTACGAATATATGGTACCTCAGGCATATTTCAACATTTTCCGAAAAATATCACATTTCTCATAAACTTGAAGAAAGTAGTCAATATAGCCGAAATCTGGCACGTTGTAATAGTTATATCAGACTAAGATCAGATGCATATGGACAATATTGGTCTACAACTTCAGAACCTCTCGCATAAAGGGTCAAAAGTTGCGTATACATCTGTCGGCAAAAGCGACAGGTACTTACTATTCGTCGAGTCTCGGATTTTTTGGACTCGTACGTTCTTAGGTTATGTTACTTTTCGCAACCTAAAAGTTTGCATTTTTAAAAACACTTTGGTACATGTATCCTGCCCTCCATCAGTGACTCCTATTTCACATTTCAGAATCCCAGCTCTATCGGCTCACCAAAATTCCAATTTAGTACACATAAGCACACATGTCCATAACAATTTCCCTATCGGTTCACCCAAATCCAAATTGTACCAAATTTAGTACATTTTAGTATATATCCCATCCCACTCATAACTTGTTAATGAAGAACATAAGTTCTATTGTAGTTTTGTTAAGGAATAACCCACTATTTTTAGCCCACTGGTAGTAGTGTGTTTGCATTACCTCTCAATGGATTATTCAGCTCATACAATTTCTTGTTGGGCATTTCATCTCTAGTTTTGTGTTTGAATTTGAAGCAATTGTATTGATTTTATTTTCCGATAATTATTCACAGAATATTTGAAAATAAAACATTTCTTTACCGTTCAATATTGATATTTGATATTTTTCGATTTCCAAGATTTTTTCTTTCTTTACAAGTTTTTAAAATTTATTAAACTCTTAGTTGTCCAATAGCATATTTCAATTAGCAAATCAATTTCATAACATCATTGCGAAGCTGAAAGCGAAACTAAAAAACCAATTACAAATAAAAACTTCTTTTATAAATATGAAACAATTTACAATATTTTTTTCTCTCTCTTTTCAATTTCAGGTATGTTCTTTCTTTGTTGTGTGAAATCGATGTAAGTTGTAATATAAATATGTAATATTATATTCAACATATTTACAAAAACAATAACAAGCAGTCAGCAAATTGTTCTACTGCAGCTGACGAGATGTAATATTGAAATGTATACAATTTTATCTTTTGACACAGTCGAATGGTTTTTTATAAAAAAAAATAGGATCAAACAAAATCATCCATCACGGATGAATGGAATCTGAATATGAATGAAACTATTTTGGTCAATGTAAACACATCCATTTAGGCAACTTAATTACCATAAAACAATAAATTCGTAAAATGAAGTTAATAAAAGCACAAAAATGCAAATATCAGCAGCTACGACAACGAGTTGTGTATTGGAATGGGTCGCAAGGAGGCTTGGATGCACACCATTTACAATTGTTTTGAAAACAAATATTTTTATTCAAAATATTACTTTCTGAATTGATTGAAGTGATAAAGTGTGGTTTAAATTTAGTGGTTATGTGGGAGGGTTGAGAAGATTCGAACAGGACATTTCGGGCATTGAAGTCAGACAATCTGCAAAAACAGCAAAATGTAGACGGAAAAATAACAATTTGGATTTACCAGGTATTTGTAATACACATAATATGTCCGTATGTTGGTCTGAGGTATTTTGGCCCATTCCCGGCGAATCGCTTGCTTGAGGTGATCGACACTTTTGTATTTTTAGTGCCAACCTTGCTTTCCAAAATACTTCAGACACAATAGTCCAACGGATTGGTATCCGAAGATTTTGGTGGCCACTGTGCTCTGGAAATGAAGCGAGGAACCTCATTTTGCAACCATTCTTGGGTGGCGCGTGCTGAGTGCGATGCTGCTGAGTCCTGTAGGAATGTCTAAGGTCTGTATGAGTGCCCAAGGCTTTAATACTTCGATATTCGACATTTATTCTGATGCCACGGTCGATTAATACGAGCGGTGGCCCACACCATCACCATGTCCGGCACTTGAGTTCTGGTGGCCAACCGAAGGTGCACATTTTCAGCTGACCTCTTTGGCATGCTAACACGATCATTTTGTTTGTTCACAAACTGCTGGACAACGAATGTTTTCTCATCGGAGAAAACCAAATTCGGCAGTTCACCACTTTCGACCAAGCGAATCAACTCTTCAGTTCTTTTGAGTCATTTCCGCTGTGGTGTTAGTTCTAGCACTTTTTGGAATTTGGAAGTCGCTCCATTACTTTTCGAAGCATTTCTGCTGATGTTGCTGTTTTCTTCCGTCCGCTTCCTTGACGTCGGGCTACGTTACCAGTATCACAGTAACGAGCGATGGTACGAGACATAAAAGATTTATTCACATTTAAATGCTGGAGTGTTCTAACGATAGCCACTTGTGGTTTTCCAGCCAAATATAAAGAAATCACACTATCATGCTTGGATTCCATCACGAATAACTGTCTTTCTGAAAAATTCTCATCAAAATGCTTTTGTACGCTTATAAACAATATAATGAGGAGTCACTGGAATAATTTTAACAGCTTTTGGACGAGTGGCTTGGAAATGATAGCAGTCTGAAGTTGGTTATAGTTTTTTCATTTCACCCTGTATAAACCATAGAAACCGATAGTGACCTCAATATAAAAGCTCTATTCCTTCACCCAATACAAAATTTAATAAAAATTTAGCACGCATATCCGAAACAATCTACATCTCTCCATCCTAGGCACAGTGTAGAAACCACCTTCATATATCCAGGCTAGACCTGAACAGCGATCCTTATATAAAATTTCAGATTTCTAGCACTACCTGTTCACTTAATACCAAATTGTACCAAATATAGTAAAATTAAGTACTTTTCGTGCACTTGTAGTACACATTTCCCAAATCACCTTCATGTATAAAATTACCTTTCCAACCTTGATTCTCATACCAAGTTCATTGCTGTTAGCTTTATCCGTCCACATAGTACCAAATCATACCATTTTAGAACTTTTCTTTGAAGTTTGAATTTCTTAAAACCCTTTGGTCATCTATCCTGCACCCCATTTCAAATTTCATAATCCCAGCTTTATCGCCTCACCAAAATTCTAATTTGTATCAAATTTAGTAGCATTTAGTGCAAATGTCCATAACAACCTACATGATTCAATCCAATAGAAATATTATTTCCCAATTTCCCTATCGGTTCACCCAAATCTAAGTTGTACCCAATTTAGTTAAATTTAGTACTCATAAGTACGAATTTCCAAAGCTTCCAACATACCCCAATCCTACAATACCATACATAATCCCATTTTCAAATTTTAGGATTTCACCCCATCGGTTCGCCCATATCCAAATTGAGTACCATGTAGTACATATAAGTACGAAAACTTCCTACATACCCCAATCCTATACTCCCACAATAATCTCAATTTCAACTTTTAGGATTCCAGCTCTATTGGTTCACTCAAATCCAAATTATACCAAATTGAGTACTATTTAGTACATATAAGTACAAATTTCCAAAACTACCTATATATCCAAAACCTACACTCCGACATTAATCTTATATCCAAATGTCGGGTAACAGTTTTGTTGGTTACCAAAATCTAAATTGTAAAAAATTGAGTACTATTTAGTACACATAAGTACGATTTTTCAAATCTTCATACATACCCCAATCCTACAATGCAATAGTCATTTTATTTCCAAGTTTCAGCATTCCATTTCTGATGGTTCACCCAAATCGAAATTGCACCAACTTTGGTATCATTTAAGTTAGTTTGAAAAGAGGGGCTAAACAATCGCCACATTTCCTAGTGGACATACACTTAAGCCAGTATGCGCCTGATGTGCGCTCTAAGACTAAAAAAATTTTGAAAGAAGACCGGCAGTTTAAAGTCTATTGAATGTGAAATTCAGTTGCCTTTACAAAATTTCTTAACTGTTTTATTAAATTTACCATCATCTGATTAAGGCCTGTATGAAGTCGTTTTCTAAATATTGGGATCTAATATTTGCGAACGCTGGGCATTGACAGAGAAAACGCTCCAATGTTTTGTCATCTTCTCCGCATGCCCTGTATATACTGTTATCTGCACATTCACTTTTATACAGATGGGCCCATATGCCCCGTAAGGATACCTGTTACCCCGCAAATCTCTCTCTTACTTAGTAATAAAAGATTCCTGGTTTTTATGTCATTTGGGTCGCCCCGATGTGGTTTTCCCTACGCCTTCTTTGTTCCATAGGGGTATGTGGGTTAGTATCATTTTCCTCCACATCCCAATCTTACAGTGGCCATGATTTCAGCTTCATCCGTTTCTCCAAATTTACATTGTACTGAATTTAGTACTTCTTAGCACTTTTCGTATATATGAGTACACACTACTAAAACTAAGTCCTTACATCGACTCTGCTCCCCAACCTCGAATCCCATTCCAAATTTCAAGATTTTAGCTCTACCCGTTCACATGATACGAAATGGTACCAAATCTAGTACATTTTAGTACTTTTCGTACACTCTCAGGGCGAATTTTAATTTTTATTTAGTACCGTTTAATACTTTTCCAAGGTGAGCTCCTTACATCGACTCTACTCCTAAACCTCGATTCCCATTCCAAATTTTAAGTTTTTAGCTCTAACCGTTCACAGGACACGGAATGATACCAAATATAGTACTAGTACTTTTCTTACACTTATAGTGCGAATTTCCAAATACTTTTCGCTACATCTATCATACACTCCATCAGTGACCGTCATTCCAAATTTAAGAGTTCTAGCTCTACAGCTTCCTCGAATTTAAAGGGTACCATATTTAGTACTTCTTAATATTTTTCGTACCATTTTCAAAAACCCAGTCTTAACTGACCCCTTCAGACCAGGAGTGACCCTCACCCAATATTTCAAGATTCTACCTTCAGCCCTTTCGTCTTGGCGTTGATGAATCCTTAAGTCGGTCAATCAGTCAGTCAATCACTTTACTCTTTTGTTAAGTTATGTTGTGTTGGCAATAGCGTGTTGCTCAGCGATAGATTCCCAAAAACTTGGACGTTTCGACTCTATGAAGATCTTCTATTTCTATCCTGTTATTTGTTTATTGTTAAACGCCAACATCTTTCATTCCTTATCTCCACCAAAACCTCAACATTTTTCGTAGAAATACCTATAATCCTATAAATATGTTTTTTATTTTTCTCCGAACCCAGATTAATGTTCTCGACTCGCAAAGAATGAACTAAGCTCTTGTATGTGTTTGAAAATCAAAACAATGATAAATTCGTTCAATTCATTCGTTCGTGCGTTCTTTGTAGCCAGATAGGCATTGTGTGTGTATGTCCGGTGGGAAATGAATAGCAGCAGCAGCAATAACATCAGAAACAGTTGTAATAGCAACAACAAAACAGACAAAAAAAAAAGAAAGGATACATGTGTCCATCGCTTTAACACCGAATTTTAGAAAGCAAAACATAAACAAAAACACAGAAAACGTTTATTTTTCACACATAAATCAAATTCATGTTCCAAGTGATACACATTCGTACATACATGAATCAGCTATGGCGTGGTTGCCAGTGGGCGGAAAAGTAATGCATCGAGTAGCGATCGAAAACAACAGGTATCGGATTTTTTAGATTTTGCTTACAAAAAAAAAAAAAAAAAAAAAAAAAAAATAATAATAATAAATAAATTCTTTCTTCTGAATTAGAAAATAGTTTTCCTTAGTAAAAATGTGTCAAAAGTAAAGGGTGACCCATCTAGAACGCAATTTAAAAATTTTAATTAAATCACAAATATTTAAAAAAATCGTGAAACTTTATTATATCGTAAAATAACGTAGACAGAATTATGTTATGTATGGAACAAGACATCGTGTAGATGGCTGCCGCAACTTTGCTGCCGCTTCCGTGTTTTTAAAATGACATTTTCAATGACCGTTTCGCATGTATGCTGCGGTATTTGACTAATACGGCGTCCAATTTCCTCTTTTAAGGCTTCGCGTAAATTAACGACTTAAAAAAAACCAAATAAAAACATCTAAAGGTATTAAATCGCACGGTGTTGGCGG